ATAATATTAATAAGGATAATTATATTAAGAAGGATAATGATATTAATAAGGATGGTGATGATGATGATGATGATGATGATGATGATGATGATGATGATGATGATGATATCGTTAATATGTCAATTTATGATTTATGCTGTTGATATGGAAGTATTTGTTTAAAATAGAATAATATGTGTTTTGTGTGAAATGGGCCCTCGGTCTTAAACACTAAATAAATCCTCACTACTATAAATTTAAAAAATCAATCAATCAATCAATCAATCAATCAATCATAAATAAATAAATAAATAAATAAATAAATAAATAAATAAATAAATAAATAAATAAATACAAATCCTACCTTGGAGACTTTTTTCTTGGAAGCCACAGAGGGGATGAGCGCCCTCAGCTTGCAGTACTCACGCTCGCGGATCTTCCGTAGGTGCATGCGCACGTGCCTTCTGGCCATGACCTGGGCAGCTGTGTGGCCGTACTGACCGGGCACGCTCGACTGGACCATCTGGGGGTAGACGGCGGTGTTTGTATATATATATATTATCATATGTATAATATATTCTCTGAACACACAATCCGGAAAGAAGCATTGCAGGATATTGTAACAACAGGCAAGTTAAGTTTGATGGAAAGAGAGGAGGAGGCAGGCAGAGGGAAAAGATACTGGACAAGATGGCAACATGGCTGGGAGCAAGCAGCAAGAACAACGGACACCATTGTTGCAACGCAAGACAGAGTGAAGTTGAAGTCCATGACCTCCCATCACGCCCGTCGACAAGGCACCGGATGATGATGATGATGATGTTCTCTGTATTATGGTCGATAAAAGTTAGTGATTGGTTGGCTGGTGCTCTGCTGTGGTTTGTTATGTTCCTTCTTTCCTATCAAATATCCTTCTTCCTTATACCTCTCCTCCTTCTTTCTTTTTTTTGTGTTTGTTACTCTCTTATAACGCATCTAATCTTCAGCTCTTATTTGACCTAATGTGTTGCACGTGCTAAATAACTCTTTGTAAAGCTAAACTGACTGAAGTTGGTTATTCAGCATCTGATACCGAATAACGATAAGAAAGTTGTGTTGTGTAGCAAACCGAAAAACAACTCCTCGTTTATTCATAACACTGTACCGAATAGCCCAATGTTGATGGAAATCTGACCCAAATCGTTCACTCTGAAGGGGGAAAAGGGGGATCGGATAGGGTTGGTTGGTTGGTGGGGATGAAAAAGATAGAGCCCAGAGGGGCAAGAAAGAGAGTGGTATGATCTAACATAGGGAAGAGAGAACGGGTAATAATAGCCATTATCGCCCACACCCGCAGCCAGAAATAGAACAATGGGTAGAGGGTTTTGGGGGAGGGCGATGAGAAAAGATAGAAGAAAGGGTAGAGGGTTTTGGGGGAGGGCGATGAGAAAAGATAGAGGCGGACAACTTACAGTGATGAGGGTGGCAAGAGCGGACGTCGGAGAGGTAAGAAGGATAACAGCCAACGTCATCGACACCCATAGCCCCCCGGCTTTACTTTAAGTACATTAACCCTTTATGAACGTGCGTAGCGGGCACATAATATCCCTTCCTCAGAATACAAAGATCTATCTGATATTTTTTGGCCGTTTTGAGTTATTAGGACCATGAGGTCATAAACCAAATGTTCTATCTGTTCTATCAAAATCATAAGATTATCCTTTATCCGGAATCGTTTTCAAGGTATTCAAAGAAATGCATTAATAAAAAAAGCTTGACCTGTTGTGAAACTCAATAATTTTAGCGTCACATTTCCAAAAAAACTAGGTACTGAGCTGATAGAAGAACGTTGTAAAAATCTAGGATGGTGGCGATATATGTCAGGTCAGCAGAGTATAATATAACCAAAGGCATTATTGTGGCACATTTCGATCTAACACACACACACACACACACACACACACACACACACACACACACACACACATACATACACACACACACAAGAAGAGTGAAAAAAAATGATCAGGACTATAAGAACCCAGCTATTAATAATAGTAATAATAATTATTACTACTATTATTATTTCATCGGGATAGACGACGTATTTACTTATCGTACTAGATGTTAAGGTTAAGCCTGCTGTACCAACGGCAGTATTTGAAGGCTGTGTCGGAACCACAGTTTATAATAACAACCTGGTCGTATTGAAAACTTTGCTAAAGAAAAAAAAAAAAGCGTTTTTTATACTTCGTTTATAAATCCCTCCTGGTGGTATGAAGAGCCTTCAACTACAATCTCGTGTCTGGTTGATTGTACAAGTCACGCACACCCACCCTTATCAAGACACCGTAGCCGGCTGGCTGGTCTTATTTATTGTAACATTCTCCACAAACTTGTGCGTGGCTTCTATCTATTATCTATTTGTGGTGGCCGAGTTCTTGCTATTCAAAAAGATTTTTAATGGCTGCATCGATCGACATGCGATTTTCGCCAAAAAATTCTTTAAAATATTCTCCAGATCATGACGTCCTTGGGTTGTTTTTTTTCAGTTTTGAGACAGTTGAGCTACAAAAGGTAAATTTCTTTATTTCGCCGATCGCTTATGTAGGCCGACGCTTCTGTCTCTGCAATTTTAGAAAATCCGGAAGTGATATTTCGGGAGGCGCATTTTTCTTTTGAGAGTATAGACCTAGACCTTCTAATTTTTTGCATCTCTCAAGATTTGTTTCCCCATTCCAGTAGAGTGTAAATATAGTAGGCCAATGACTTTTAGCACCGATCATTCCTTTCATCGAAAGGGGACCCAGCTAGTCTTTTCTATTCACGAAAAATGTCTATGAACTCCAGGATGACAAGGACAAAACAATTTCTCTCTGGGCATACGTTGATAAACCGTCGACGAGAGCGGTGCGTTCCCATAAAAGGTCAGGTGGTAACAGACGGTGCCTGGGATCGGCCCGTTATTGCACGTACAATACTCTCTAAGCTGATGATTTCACGGGAGCGATAAGGCAGGTGTGTGTGTGAGGGGGGTGGGGGGTAATTGTTGCTCGTCGTTCCTCTAGTCACCACCACCACCACCCGTCCGCCTGGGCTACTCCAGCGCAATTTATTTCAACGCATTCATCGGCCAGATACCTTGAGGGGGGTATGTATGAGGAAGGGCTGGGAATTACCACGTCTGGACTCTCTTAAGATGTCAGCTGAAGAGGTACTTTGAGCTGAACGCATGGCGCGTAATGGGTGTGAAGGATTCGCTTTTGTGTCTCCAATGACCTCTCGTGGTAGGGAAATAGGTCTTTAGTTATTGAGAAGGGTTTGGTTGAGAAAACTGATTCGGTGGTTGACATTCAGATTGGACAG